TCAGGTTGACCTAATAAACCAACAAAACCAGAGGAAGGGAAAGCGGTCGCACTGCCACCTGCAGACGGCGCCGGGGATGCACCCGAGAGATGGGCTGCAGAGGCAGCACTCCCAGCAGTCCAGGCAAGAAAGGGCTGCTGCTGGGATACCGGAGGAGGAGGGAGGAGGGGCAGTTGCGGCTGGAGGTCTAGCTGCTGCTGGAGTTGCTGGAGCTGCTGCTGGAGCTGAGATAGGAGAAGCTGCTGCCCATACTGCTGTGACCCCTGCTGCTGATTCCCAAGCTGCTGCTGCTGTTGCTGCTGCTGGTGCTGCTGCTGGGGAGGGGCGAGGGCCTGGTGGGCGTGGGTGGAGGAGGAAGGTTCATAGAGGGGAGAGGAACGGACCTCAAGGGGAGTGGGGCGAGGGTTGAGGGCGGACCAGCGAGGAGGGGTGCCGGTGTTGCCACGGGCAAACCACTCATCACTGAGTGCCTTGAAGCACGTCTCAGTGGCATGGGTGGTTTGGCCGCAGCGCTGTCCCTGAGTGGGACCGTAGCGAGGCAGGTACTGACAGGGAGGAAAGGCAGCTGCGGCACCACGACCTGTACCTCCGCTACCAGCACCACCGCGTCCTGCTGATCCCCCTCGTCCACCCCCACGCCCACCACCACGCCCACCCCCACGCACACCACCACGGCCACCCCGGCTGCTGCGCGATTGGGCTGCTGCGGCTGTGGAGGAAGAGTGGCGAAGGATCTTTGCTTCGGTGGTGATAATCCACTGAGCGACTTCAGCAGGGGTGTGGTGCTTGGAGATAAGCTGCATGTACGCAAGCTTGTGAGCGTCGAAGGCAGGTGTCAGGCCCTCAAGAAGGTGGCAGCAAATGACAGCATCTGGGTACACCACATCAAGTGCTGCAAGGCGTCGAGCGAGATCTAGGACGCGGCGAGTGAAGGCAGCTGCGCCGGAGGTTGAATCCATAGAGAGAGTTCCGAATTCTTTGATAAGAGCGTAGAGGGTGGCGACGTCTTGACGGTCGAAAAGGTCGACGAGTGATCGCCACAGGTGGGAGGAGGAGGTGGGTGAGAGCTCGCGTTTGAGGGAGGAGGGAATGGTGGCGAGAAGAATGGCAAGCGCGCGTCGGTCAGCAACTCGCCAGGCAGTGATTTTGGTGGTGTAGTCGGCAAGTTGTGCAGCGTAGGTGTTGAGGTCCTCCTGGTACTTGTTGTGGAGGGCAGCAGCAGCATCATATGTGCGCTTGTCCTCTTCGTAACGCAGTTGCTGGCGTAGGTGCTCTTGGAGAGCGGTGCGGTATGTGCGAATGGCGGTTTCCGAGCTCTGTGGGTCGTTTATATTCGGCGCGAAGGTGGGAGGGTCACCCGGGGGGATAGGCTCGGCCCCAGGAGTGGCGGGGGCAGGCCCAGTAGGAGCGGTGGGGGCGACGGGCTGAAGACCGGTGTCTTCCTGGAATACAATCGATCGAAGGTTGTAGCCGCTGACTACGATAGAGGAGAGAAGCACCTCGACTGAGTGAGCGTAAGAGTGCCAATTAGCAGCAGAGTTGTCAGCAAGTAGCTCAAGTGCGTCAACTGTAGCGAGATCGGCAGAGGAGTCGGATGATGATGCCATAGGGACGAGGTCGAGGAGAGGGAAGAGGAGGAGGCAGGTAATGTGCTGGTCTCGCTGCCGCTGCTGGTCCCACTGCTGCTGCCGCTGCTGGTCCCGCTGCTGCTGCCGCTGCTGGTCCCGCTGCTGCTGCCGCTGCTGGTCCCGCTGCTGCTGCCGCTGCTGGTCCCGCTGCTGCTGCCGCTGCTGGTCCCGCTGCTGCTGCCGCTGCTGGTCCCGCTGCTGCTGCCGCTGCTGGTCCCGCTGCTGCTGCCGCTGCTGGTCCCGCTGCTGCTGCCGCTGCTGGTCCCGCTGCTGCTGCCGCTGCTGGTCCCGCTGCTGCTGGGTAGAACAGGAGGAGGACGAACGGGGGAGGGGGGGGGAGGAGGGAGGGAGGAGAGGGGGAGGAGAGGGGGGCGGGGGGGCGCGGTGTGGTTGGAGGGCGGGAGGACAACGACGACGAACAGGCTTGCGGCGAACGCGTTGGGCGAGGAGGTGCGATGCGGAGGCGCTGGACGAGGAGGCCTGCTGCGGACGCGCGCGACAGGCAGAGTCGCCGCGGATGCACGCAACAAAGGAGCCCGTGCGGCGAGCAGGTCGCAGCCGTCGGTGAGCAGATCGCGACCGTCGGCGAGCAGATTGCGGCCGTCAACGAGCAGATCGAGGCCGTCGACGAGCAGATCGGGGACGTCGACGAGTGAATCGCGGCCGTCAGCGAGCAAACCGCGGCCGCCGAGCAGGTTGCGGCCGTCGGCGAGCAGATCTGAGCCGTCGACGAGCAGATCTGGGCCGTCGACGAGCAGATCTGGGCCGTCGACGAGTAGAACGCGGCCGTCGAGCAGAACGCGGCCGTTGACGAGGAAATTGCGGCCGTTGAAGAGGAAATAGCGGCCGTCGCAAAGGTAGGTCGCGGAGATGGCAAATACGTTCCGCGGGAGGGCGGATCTGGTCCGCGGGAGGGCGGATCTGGTCCGCGGGAGGGCGGATCTGGTCCGCGGGAGGGCGGATCTGGTCCGCGGGAGGGCGGATCTGGTCCGCGGGAGGGCGGATCTGGTCCGCGGGAGGGCGGATCTGGTCCGCGGGAGGGCGGATCTGGTCCGCGGGAGGGCGGATCTGGTCCGCGGGAGGGCGGATCTGGTCCGCGGGAGGGCGGATCTGGTCCGCGGGAGGGCGGATCTGGTCCGCGGGAGGGCGGATCTGGTCCGCGGGAGGGCGGATCTGGTCTGCGGGAAGGCGGATCTGGTCCGCAGGAGGGCGGATCTGGTCCGCGGGAGGGCGGATCTGGTCCGCAGGAGAGAGGATAGCGCCTAAGACGTGAAGCGGGAGGTAGCGCTTAAGGAAACACAGGGAGGGAGGCCATTATTGGCCGGGTAGGAAGAGAGGTACATGTTAGGACGGTCCTAAGGATCTTGGTAGGGCGTGAGCCATAAGCTCTGAATACCATGTGAGAAAGAAGAATTGTTGCACTGAATAATGAGCCAAAAGGCTCTTTAGTACAAGCAATGAGCAAGAGAGAGATAAGAGGGAAGCTTACCCTATTGGCCAATAAGTTGGCCAATGGGTGAGTTTGCTTGTGGCCCAAGCAACCACAAAATGTGTGTTGGTTGGGATTGGTTAAGGTAAGGACCAATCCCCACCAACCACAAAATGTGGTTGGAGGGTACACTAACCAACCCCCCAATTTATAAGACTGCTGCACATCAATGTCTAGCCTATGCATGTTGTATAAAATATGGAATTACAACACGCCATAGCTCCCATCTCCCCATGCCTCAAACCATCGCCATAGCACCCATCTCCCCATGCCTCAAACCATCGCCATAGCTCCCATCTCCCCATGCCTCAAACCATCGCCATAGCTCCCATCTCCCCATGCCTCAAAGCATCGCCATAGCTCCCATCTCCCCATGCCTCAAACCATCGCCATAGCTCCCATCTCCCCATGCCTCAAACCATCGCCATAGCTCCCATCTCCCCATGCCTCAAACCATCGCCACAGCTCCCATCTCCCCATGCCTCAAACCATCGCCATAGCTCCCATCTCCCCATGCCTCAAACCATCGCCACAGCTCCCATCTCCCCATGCCTCAAACCATCGCCATAGCTCCCATCTCCCCATGCCTCAAACCATCGCCATAGCTCCCATCTCCCCATGCCTCAAACCATCGCCATAGCTCCCATCTCCCCATGCCTCAAACCATCGCCATAGCTCCCATCTCCCCATGCCTCAAACCATCGCCATAGCTCCCATCTCCCCATGCCTCAAACCATCGCCATAGCTCCCATCTCCCCATGCCTCAAACCATCGCCATAGCTCCCATCTCCCCATGCCTCAAACCATCGCCACAGCTCCCATCTCCCCATGCCTCAAACCATCGCCATAGCTCCCATCTCCCCATGCCTCAAACCATCGCCATAGCTCCCATCTCCCCATGCCTCAAACCATCGCCATAGCTCCCATCTCCCCATGCCTCAAACCATCGCCATAGCTCCCATCTCCCCATGCCTCAAACCATCGCCACAGCTCCCATCTCCCCATGCCTCAAACCATCGCCACAGCTCCCATCTCCCCATGCCTCAAACCATCGCCATAGCTCCCATCTCCCCATGCCTCAAACCATCGCCATAGCTCCCATCTCCCCATGCCTCAAACCATCGCCATAGCTCCCATCTCCCCATGCCTCAAACCATCGCCATAGCTCCCATCTCCCCATGCCTCAAACCATCGCCATAGCTCCCATCTCCCCATGCCTCAAACCATCGCCATAGCTCCCATCTCCCCATGCCTCAAACCATCGCCATAGCTCCCATCTCCCCATGCCTCAAACCATCGCCATAGCTCCCATCTCCCCATGCCTCAAACCATCGCCATAGCTCCCATCTCCCCATGCCTCAAACCATCGCCATAGCTCCCATCTCCCCATGCCTCAAACCATCGCCATAGCTCCCATCTCCCCATGCCTCAAACCATCGCCATAGCTCCCATCTCCCCATGCCTCAAACCATCGCCATAGCTCCCATCTCCCCATGCCTCAAACCATCGCCATAGCTCCCATCTCCCCATGCCTCAAACCATCGCCATAGCTCCCATCTCCCCATGCCTCAAACCATCGCCATAGCTCCCATCTCCCCATGCCTCAAACCATCGCCATAGCTCCCATCTCCCCATGCCTCAAAGCATCGCCATAGCTCCCATCTCCCCATGCCTCAAACCATCGCCATAGCTCCCATCTCCCCATGCCTCAAACCATCGCCATAGCTCCCATCTCCCCATGCCTCAAACCATCGCCATAGCTCCCATCTCCCCATGCCTCAAACCATCGCCATAGCTCCCATCTCCCCATGCCTCAAACCATCGCCATAGCTCCCATCTCCCCATGCCTCAAACCATCGCCATAGCTCCCATCTCCCCGTGCCTCAAACCATCGCCATAGCTCCCGTCTCCCCGTGCCTCAAACCATCGCCATAGCTCCCGTCTCCCCGTGCCTCAAACCATCGCCATAGCTCCCATCTCCCCATGCCTCAAACCATCGCCATAGCTCCCATCTCCCCATGCCTCAAACCATCGCCATAGCTCCCATCTCCCCATGCCTCAAACCATCGCCATAGCTCCCGTCTCCCCGTGCCTCAAACCATCGCCATAGCTCCCATCTCCCCATGCCTCAAACCATCGCCATAGCTCCCATCTCCCCGTGCCTCAAACCATCGCCATAGCTCCCGTCTCCCCGTGCCTCAAACCATCGCCATAGCTCCCGTCTCCCCGTGCCTCAAACCATCGCCATAGCTCCCATCTCCCCATGCCTCAAACCATCGCCATAGCTCCCATCTCCCCATGCCTCAAACCATCGCCATAGCTCCCGTCTCCCCGTGCCTCAAACCATCGCCATAGCTCCCGTCTCCCCGTGCCTCAAACCATCGCCATAGCTCCCATCTCCCCATGCCTCAAACCATCGCCATAGCTCCCATCTCCCCGTGCCTCAAACCATCGCCATAGCTCCCATCTCCCCGTGCCTCAAACCATCGCCATAGCTCCCGTCTCCCCGTGCCTCAAACCATCGCCATAGCTCCCGTCTCCCCGTGCCTCAAACCATCGCCATAGCTCCCATCTCCCCGTGCCTCAAACCATCGCCATAGCTCCCATCTCCCCATGCCTCAAACCATCGCCATAGCTCCCATCTCCCCATGCCTCAAACCATCGCCATAGCTCCCATCTCCCCATGCCTCAAACCATCGCCATAGCTCCCATCTCCCCATGCCTCAAACCATCGCCATAGCTCCCCTCTCCCCATGCCTCAAACCATCGCCATAGCTCCCATCTCCCCATGCCTCAAACCATCGCCATAGCTCCCATCTCCCCATGCCTCAAAGCATCGCCATAGCTCCCATCTCCCCATGCCTCAAACCATCGCCATAGCTCCCATCTCCCCATGCCTCAAACCATCGCCATAGCTCCCATCTCCCCATGCCTCAAACCATCGCCATAGCTCCCATCTCCCCATGCCTCAAACCATCGCCATAGCTCCCATCTCCCCATGCCTCAAACCATCGCCATAGCTCCCATCTCCCCATGCCTCAAACCATCGCCATAGCTCCCATCTCCCCATGCCTCAAACCATCGCCATAGCTCCCATCTCCCCATGCCTCAAACCATCGCCATAGCTCCCATCTCCCCGTGCCTCAAACCATCGCCATAGCTCCCGTCTCCCCGTGCCTCAAACCATCGCCATAGCTCCCGTCTCCCCGTGCCTCAAACCATCGCCATAGCTCCCATCTCCCCATGCCTCAAACCATCGCCATAGCTCCCATCTCCCCATGCCTCAAACCATCGCCATAGCTCCCATCTCCCCATGCCTCAAACCATCGCCATAGCTCCCGTCTCCCCGTGCCTCAAACCATCGCCATAGCTCCCATCTCCCCATGCCTCAAACCATCGCCATAGCTCCCATCTCCCCGTGCCTCAAACCATCGCCATAGCTCCCGTCTCCCCGTGCCTCAAACCATCGCCATAGCTCCCGTCTCCCCGTGCCTCAAACCATCGCCATAGCTCCCATCTCCCCATGCCTCAAACCATCGCCATAGCTCCCATCTCCCCATGCCTCAAACCATCGCCATAGCTCCCGTCTCCCCGTGCCTCAAACCATCGCCATAGCTCCCGTCTCCCCGTGCCTCAAACCATCGCCATAGCTCCCATCTCCCCATGCCTCAAACCATCGCCATAGCTCCCATCTCCCCGTGCCTCAAACCATCGCCATAGCTCCCATCTCCCCATGCCTCAAACCATCGCCATAGCTCCCATCTCCCCATGCCTCAAACCATCGCCACAGCTCCCATCTCCCCATGCCTCAAACCATCGCCATAGCTCCCATCTCCCCATGCCTCAAACCATCGCCATAGCTCCCATCTCCCCATGCCTCAAACCATCGCCATAGCTCCCATCTCCCCATGCCTCAAACCATCGCCATAGCTCCCATCTCCCCATGCCTCAAACCATCGCCATAGCTCCCATCTCCCCATGCCTCAAACCATCGCCATAGCTCCCATCTCCCCATGCCTCAAACCATCGCCATAGCTCCCATCTCCCCATGCCTCAAACCATCGCCACAGCTCCCATCTCCCCATGCCTCAAACCATCGCCATAGCTCCCATCTCCCCATGCCTCAAACCATCGCCATAGCTCCCATCTCCCCATGCCTCAAACCATCGCCATAGCTCCCATCTCCCCATGCCTCAAACCATCGCCATAGCTCCCATCTCCCCATGCCTCAAACCATCGCCATAGCTCCCATCTCCCCATGCCTCAAACCATCGCCATAGCTCCCATCTCCCCATGCCTCAAACCATCGCCATAGCTCCCATCTCCCCATGCCTCAAACCATCGCCATAGCTCCCATCTCCCCATGCCTCAAACCATCGCCATAGCTCCCATCTCCCCATGCCTCAAACCATCGCCATAGCTCCCATCTCCCCATGCCTCAAACCATCGCCATAGCTCCCATCTCCCCATGCCTCAAACCATCGCCATAGCTCCCATCTCCCCGTGCCTCAAACCATCGCCATAGCTCCCGTCTCCCCGTGCCTCAAACCATCGCCATAGCTCCCGTCTCCCCGTGCCTCAAACCATCGCCATAGCTCCCATCTCCCCATGCCTCAAACCATCGCCATAGCTCCCATCTCCCCATGCCTCAAACCATCGCCATAGCTCCCATCTCCCCATGCCTCAAACCATCGCCATAGCTCCCGTCTCCCCGTGCCTCAAACCATCGCCATAGCTCCCATCTCCCCGTGCCTCAAAACATCGCCATAGCTCCCATCTCCCCGTGCCTCAAACCATCGCCATAGCTCCCGTCTCCCCGTGCCTCAAACCATCGCCATAGCTCCCGTCTCCCCGTGCCTCAAACCATCGCCATAGCTCCCATCTCCCCATGCCTCAAACCATCGCCATAGCTCCCATCTCCCCATGCCTCAAACCATCGCCATAGCTCCCGTCTCCCCGTGCCTCAAACCATCGCCATAGCTCCCGTCTCCCCGTGCCTCAAACCATCGCCATAGCTCCCATCTCCCCATGCCTCAAACCATCGCCATAGCTCCCATCTCCCCGTGCCTCAAACCATCGCCATAGCTCCCATCTCCCCGTGCCTCAAACCATCGCCATAGCTCCCATCTCCCCGTGCCTCAAACCATCGCCATAGCTCCCGTCTCCCCGTGCCTCAAACCATCGCCATAGCTCCCATCTCCCCATGCCTCAAACCATCGCCATAGCTCCCATCTCCCCATGCCTCAAACCATCGCCATAGCTCCCATCTCCCCATGCCTCAAACCATCGCCATAGCTCCCATCTCCCCATGCCTCAAACCATCGCCATAGCTCCCATCTCCCCATGCCTCAAAGCATCGCCATAGCTCCCATCTCCCCATGCCTCAAACCATCGCCATAGCTCCCATCTCCCCATGCCTCAAACCATCGCCATAGCTCCCATCTCCCCATGCCTCAAACCATCGCCATAGCTCCCATCTCCCCATGCCTCAAACCATCGCCATAGCTCCCATCTCCCCATGCCTCAAACCATCGCCATAGCTCCCATCTCCCCATGCCTCAAACCATCGCCATAGCTCCCATCTCCCCATGCCTCAAACCATCGCCATAGCTCCCATCTCCCCATGCCTCAAACCATCGCCATAGCTCCCATCTCCCCATGCCTCAAACCATCGCCATAGCTCCCATCTCCCCATGCCTCAAACCATCGCCATAGCTCCCATCTCCCCATGCCTCAAACCATCGCCATAGCTCCCATCTCCCCATGCCTCAAACCATCGCCATAGCTCCCATCTCCCCATGCCTCAAACCATCGCCATAGCTCCCATCTCCCCATGCCTCAAACCATCGCCATAGCTCCCATCTCCCCATGCCTCAAACCATCGCCATAGCTCCCATCTCCCCATGCCTCAAACCATCGCCATAGCTCCCATCTCCCCATGCCTCAAACCATCGCCATAGCTCCCATCTCCCCATGCCTCAAACCATCGCCATAGCTCCCATCTCCCCATGCCCCAAACCATCGCCATAGCTCCCATCTCCCCATGCCTCAAACCATCGCCATAGCTCCCATCTCCCCATGCCTCAAACCATCGCCATAGCTCCCATCTCCCCATGCCTCAAACCATCGCCATAGCTCCCATCTCCCCATGCCTCAAACCATCGCCATAGCTCCCATCTCCCCATGCCTCAAACCATCGCCATAGCTCCCATCTCCCCATGCCTCAAACCATCGCCATAGCTCCCATCTCCCCATGCCTCAAACCATCGCCATAGCTCCCATCTCCCCATGCCTCAAACCATCGCCATAGCTCCCATCTCCCCATGCCTCAAACCATCGCCATAGCTCCCATCTCCCCATGCCTCAAACCATCGCCATAGCTCCCATCTCCCCATGCCTCAAACCATCGCCATGGCTCCCATCTCCCCATGCCTCAAACCATCGCCATAGCTCCCATCTCCCCATGCCTCAAACCATCGCCATAGCTCCCATCTCCCCATGCCTCAAACCATCGCCATAGCTCCCATCTCCCCATGCCTCAAACCATCGCCATAGCTCCCATCTCCCCATGCCTCAAACCATCGCCATAGCTCCCATCTCCCCATGCCTCAAACCATCGCCATAGCTCCCATCTCCCCATGCATCCCTTCACTCCCCGCCCCCCTCACCTGCCCCTCCTCCCACTGCGCACCACCTGTGGCCCGCTGCTCTCCCCACTGCCGCTGCCCTTCCCCATGCATGTGTGCACCATCATCTTCCCCCGCTCGCTCCCCACTCCCCTCTTCCCTCACCTGGCCCAGGCACCTCCTGTACGCCCCACCACACACTTGACCCTCTCGCCCCCAGGCACTCCCTTTCTCTCCCTGCCTGTCCCAGGCACCTCCTCCACACATGCGCACCACCCCTTACCCCTCCTTTCACCTCACCTCACACCCCTCACCTTCCTCCGCTTACCTGCCCCACGCACCTCCTCCACGTTAGGCGCCATAAACACACACTTGGCCCTCCCACTGCGCACCGCTGTCCTCTGCTGCACCCTCACTGCCGCTCATGCATCTCGGCACGATCATCGCATCCCAAACCCCACCCTTTCCTCACCTGCCCAGGCACCTCCTCCACGTTAGAAGCTCCGCCTGCCCCACCTCCTTCCACCCCGCTAGCGCACGGCGCCTCATTGCTCCGTGCGCATGGGGAGGTTAAGTGGGAGGGGGGTGGGTAAAGGGAGAAGGGAAATCTCGTTGCCCTCTTCAGCACTGCTTGCCAGCCCCACCCCCTCCAGCCGTGTGAGCATGCAGCGCCGACTTGCGCCGTGCGTGTGGGGAGGTCAAGTGGGAGTGGGGTGGAGGCGGGGGGGAAGGGGAATCACATTCACGCCCACACAGCCTGCCCCATCCCCTTCAACCCTGCTACCACGCAGCACCGCATTGCACTCGGAGCGTGGGGAGAAGCGAGGGGGAAGGGCCGCTCCTGCAGGTGCAGCCCCACGGGGGTGGTGGGCCAGCAGTGTGTGTCCCAGTGGGTTCACCTCCGGAGTCACCACGTGCTGGGCACACCTGGGTAGAGGTGGGGGGAGAGAGTGGGTATGGGGGGATGGATCATGGAGGGGCGGAAGGAGAGGAGGGCGGTCCAGCAGTTTGTGCATTCAGCTCAGGTTACATGAGCAGCTGCTGGGCGTGCCCTGACTGGAGGAGCTGGAGGCAAGTGGGGTGGTGCGTGGTTGAGCGAAAGGAGAGAGGGGTTGTGAGGGAGGATGCGGGTGCAGCGAGGGGTGCGGGGCAGGTGAAGGTTCAGGAGAGGGTTCTGAGAAACATGAGAAGGTAAAGGCAGGTCTTGAGGCGCCTCAAAAGCTGCCTCGTGTGAAGGCTTGCTTCCAGCCATGTGATTAGGCGAGCAGCAGTCTAGAAAGAAACTTTTAGCAAAAGACTGACAGTACGAATCTGTTGTTGTATCCTGCATAAACAAGGAAAATTAAGGCTAGCTGCCTCAGGTGAAGGCTCGAGGCAGGGTTGTGAGGAGAAAGCGATTGCCGAGGCACAGAGGCATATCTCATCAGTGGTGTTCGGCGGTTTGCTATTTATCTCATCCGAGTGTGCTTTTACGAATTCAAAAAACTTCTCGCCTCACCTGCTGTACGTAATCAGTTGAATTTGACGTTTCACCACGCTGCCTTCTTGCCCTCTCTTTTGCTCCCCTCCCTTCACCTCCCCTCACTCCACCTTCTCTCCCCCCTTTCTCCTTCCTCGCTTTCGCCTACCCACTCGTTTCCCATCCATCTGCCTCCCACGCCTCTCCCTTTTACTCTTCTTCCACCTCTCCTGTCGCCCTTCTCTCCTCCCATCCCTCCACCCCACACTCCCCTGATCCCACACTACCCTCTCCCACCTCTGAGTCCTCTCTCGTTTCTCCCCTCCCTGGCCCCACCCTTCCCCGTCCCATCCAACCACTGTGGCAGCACACCCCCCTTCACGCGTCTCATGTTCCAACCACCCCGTGCCTCCCACCATCCTAATGCACCATACCCCTTCCTTACTTCCTCCACCTTTTCCTCCCCCTCTCCCTCTCCCTATCCTTCTCCAACTCCCTCCCCCACTCCTCCATCCCCCCCATCCTCCCCCAACCCCTCCTCTTCCATTATGCCCGCTTCTGTTCCCTCCCCCTCCCCTCCCCCTCTCCATCCCCCATCCCCCCTTACCCCCGCGCCTGTCTCGCCAGCACCACCATGCGTTTCAAGCCCTTCTCCTTCGTTGCCTGCCTCTCCTTCCCCCGCCTCACACCAATGCTCGCCATTGTTGCTGCCTTCACCCGCACCCGCGCTTCCCCGCGCCCTCCCTTGCGCCCCCCTCCGCCCACTCGCGCTCTTTTACACGTCCGTGCCTGCCTCGCTTTTCTTTGAGCCCCATGAGCGCAATCTCTCCCCTTTCCCCACCTCTCCGCCTGCCATTTCCCCCCTACTCCGCTCTCCCGCTCCCCCATCTGCTACCTTTTCTCCCATCCCTCGCCTAGTTTCCGCCAAAACCAAGCAACGCGCGCCCGCATTCTCCCTCCTTCCTTCCCTCTCCGCGCCTCCCCTCCTCGCTCCGCCTCCCCTTCCCCGTGCGCACGGCCGACCGTCACTGCTAACCCCATCTGCGCTACCCCTCCCACTGGCGCGGAAGCCAATTTGCGCGGACTCTCGCGGAGGCGGCGGTAGAGGCGCGCGCGCAGCGAGGATCGCGGCGGCGGCGGGGAGGCGGCGGTGGCGGCGGCGAGGAAATGATCCAGGCGGGGGGCGGCCGGCGCGGGCTTCTAACTCCTCTTCGCGCCACCACCGCCGCCGCCGCCGCCGCTCTGACCATGCTGCTCTCAGCGACGCGGCTGCCTCCGCCGGTGTCCCGCCGCCGTCGCAGCCGCTGTTTTGGCAGCCGCTCCCATCGGGAGCCCTGCCTGCGCACCCGTGCTTGCGGCGCCCGCCATTTCTGCTGCTCCTCGCTCCTCTGCTTTCGCGGCATTCCGCCATCGCGAATCGAGTTTAATCGCTCGCTATCGTCGCCTACTGTCGCTCTCTCGTCGTCTACCGCCGCTCGACTGCTATTCCACTTTCGCCGTCGACAGTCGCGGTTCTGTCTCCGTTCGTCGCACTGTCGTCTCCCTGTCAGTCGCTTTGACGCGACCGCTATGGAGCCACTGACTGACGCCCCTATCCTAAATGCGGGCTATGTGTACTCCTACATGGTCAGTGGTCAATGTTCGCCGAGTGGTGGCCTGTCGGAACGTGGGCTAGGCTTTACTATGAACAAACTGTTTTTAGTGCGAGGCTTTACTAACTAGAAACTACAGTACGTCCTCTGAATGTCTAAAACGAGGATTGATTAGGCAGAGTCGAGCTAGGCGAGGACCTCTGGGGCGAGGCTCGGAACGTGACAAAAGGCCCGGAAGCGATTCGGAAGAGGTTCGGTGCGAGAGGTCGAATCAGTTGAAGCGAACCCCTTGGAACATACAAGCTAAACTAATATACAACATGAAATTATACTTGCTTATTAGAACTTTGCGTAATGAATCGAGCTCTAGGTATTACTTTGGACTAACCCCAATCAATTTCTCCGTTAACTCTACAAATTTTACTAAAATGCTACAACTCATACGAAAAATCTTGCTCTTGCTGCCCCACCAGACATCTTTGCCCGCATGCAGGGCTGATTTTATCAGGGTAGTTACCCCGATTTCAGGGTGATTACAGGCTTCTCACTTGGTGGTCCCTGCAATTTCAGAATATCTGAATTGTGAACAATGATCCATTCAGAATAGTGCTTTGGCGAACCCTGAAATATTGGATCTAGGCTTAGAGTAGTGTTCTTACTGACTCTGTCAATGTAGAGTACGCGTTCTGTGGACTTTGAGGCGCTGTTCTGTATGTCAGAATCCCAGACACTAAAAACTGGGATAAAAGGGCTTTATTTGTGTAGCGAGTGAGTGCGCCCATAACCCCCCAGGCCGCCATGCCTGTAACCTGTTAGAATCTAGAGACAAGGATGATGCATTGATCAAGAGTTGGGTACATAAGCTAACCCTAACATTGGGTTGTACCCCATATGGGCTACCCCACTAGCAGCCTACACAAACACAATATGCATAGTTTGACACACCCCCATAGGCAAAGTGGGGGAGAACAAGGGGTCACAAGACCAGTCAAGAGAAACAAAACAAGCTCAGGGTGGATCACAACGTCACCACACACACTGAGCACAAGCAAAGGGCCACAAGGCCTGTCCACATGCAGAGGTATATATGCAACAAACAAAGTACAGTGATCACTACCTAGCAAGAGCAAGCATGCAGGTATATATATATATATAAAGATCACAGTACAGGCAGAGTCTACAGCAAGTGTGGAAACGTAGGCACAAGGCCCAACAAGGTACAAAAGCGCTGATGATCACCAGACGGAAGTGCCTTGGTGAATATATCAGCAGTGTTGGCCTGAGTGGCCACGTGTGCAAGACGAAGCTGACCACGCTGCTGCAACTCTCGAGCCAGGAAGTAACGCAGAGCGATGTGCTTCGTTCTGTGCTCCAGTCTGTGCTCCTCACACAAGGCAATGGCTGCCTTGTTGTCAACGTACAGAACTGGAGGAGAACGAGGCCGCTCTCCCAGGTCGGTCAGCAGGTACGTGAGCCAGCGCAGCTCCTGAGCAGCCATGGCGGTGGCGTAGATCTCAGCCTCACAACTGGAGCTGAGAACAGAAGACGAGCGAGTAGAACGCCACGAAACAGAGCCAGAGCCGAGGCTGAAAGTGTAACCCTGTGACGACCGCTGTGTAGCCTGGTCGTCAACCCAAGACGCGTCTGAGTGCCCAGTGAGGACCACCTCTCGCCGTCCTCCAAGCACGAGCCCCATGCCCGATGTACTGCACAAGTAGCGCAGTACCCTCTTCGCAGCATCCCAGTGCACCTTTCGGTGCCGACCAGGAGCCACGTAGCGGGCCAAAAGGCCAAGAGGGTACGCAAGGTCAGGACGAGTGCAAGTCATCAGGTACATGAGGCAGCCTACTAGCTCTGGGTAAGGACCACTCGGCTCTACGGACTCGTCCGAAGGTGGAGCTGAGAGCGAGTGACCTGTAGCCAGAGGAGTGGACTGTGCCGAGGACCAGGTGAAGCCGAAGCGCTGAAGGACCTGCTGCACCATGTGTGACTGAGTCAGAGTGATGGTGCGACGTGCTCTGTCCCGGGTGATCTGCAAGCCAAGGTAGCTGCGCAGCTCACCCAGATCTGTGCACGTGTGTCTCTTCTGCAGCTCCGACTTCACCAGGGCGAGAGCCTCAGTGTCAGCAGTGGCAAAGACCAAGTCGTCGACGTACACGAGGATGTAGAACGGCGGCAGCGAAGTGTCGGTGCGCAGAAACAGTGACGGGTCAGCTGTGGAGGGCGCAAACCCGAGAGCCGCAAGCGTAGTCCTCAGTGTGTCGTGCCACTCACGAGGTGCCTGACGGAGACCGTAGACTGGCCGGCGGAGGCTCCACTGGGTACCAGGAGGGAAAGACCCAGTGAAGCCAGGTGGGCGGCGCAGCCAGATCTCCTCGTGCAGGCTGCCCTGC